TGCTATATGTACTGCGTTAGGCTAACCGAGACTTGTCATTTGCACTTATATATTGTTGCTCTTTTATTAGTTTTGACTGTTTTTATTGTCCTCATTTGTAAGTCGCTTTGGATAAAAGCGTCTGCTAAATGACTAAATGTAATGTAAATGTATAATTAACCAATGTAGCTGCCTATTGTAGCCTATGTGTTTCTGAAAAAAAATACTGGTAAACTTTATTTGAGATAAAAAAAAAAAAATCCAACTATCCATGTTTTTTTTTTATTAGTTTTATGTTATAAGTAACATGCAAACAAGAACAGTACAGAATATATCAACACTGCATTGTACTATACATCCATAAAAAATATAGAGATGACATGTTGTATAAGAGGTTATTGGGAATTTGAATACATATAAATTATTATTATTATTATTTAATTTAAAATATATATATATTTTTTAATTCTGGACCTTGGAGGTTACGTATGCAATTTTTTTGCTTACAAATATGAAATTTATTTAACAAAACAAAGATTTTAACAATAATTTCAAGACATTTACCTATAAAATAAAATAATATATTTCTGTTTAAGAAGAACAATACCAAACAATACAGTGCCGAATACCTATTTTGATGAAATACAACAACAATACAGTATTCTAATAAAAAGTAAATGAGTCATAAATGTCCCCTTTTTTATAGAAGAAATGATTGAACATTACAATCAATTTAAACAATTAATTCCACATACACAAGAAAGAAGAACAATCTCAATCTGTCAGACAGCATTTAAGAGAAGAGAGAAAGAAAAAATAAAATAAAGTCATAATAATAATAATAATAATAATAAACATACATATAAACAACTTCACAATAGTTCAAATTATCTTCCTTCTTCCTAAGGACAGGGACTACAGTGGGGGAACTATACAAGAAAAAAATCCTCCATGAAATTGAACAATATGTCATTCTTTTTGTTATTAATTTGCATTAGAGACTCATTCAAAGATTCCATTTCTAATAAAAATAAATTACATTTTGGTATGCATTTCGCAATTTTTTTTATGTATGTAATATTTTACCTTTCAAAATGTAAAAGTTAACGACATACTCAATCATTTTGCTTTTGTCTGAATAAGTGCAAATAACATCTTTTAAAGAGAACATGTAATTAACATTTCTTTGAACAAATAAAAAGGCACTAACAACAGACAACAATCTAAAAGACAAATCACAATTATAAAACAAATGAGACAAGTCTTCCTCATGAAAAAATGCAAAAATGCAATTATTGAAAATGTAATTATTGTCCATGTCCATGAATTTAGAAAGAGCTACTTTACATGGGTAAAATTTAAAAGTATTTTAAAATAAAACAAAAATATATTTTTAAAAATAAAATAAAAGGTATTTTGAAATGTACCTCTTTAAATTTGTTCAAAATACAAAATTTGTAAGGATTTGACCAAGCCACTTTCCAATTAATATCAGAATTTTTTGCATTCCTGGAATAAATGTCCCTGTTTTTTGTGGAAGGAAAGTATTGTATGACGCGTTTCCTGTGACGTAGACCTATACAAAGGAAGTATTGACATTCATATGCGGAAAAAGTTAGAGTGGAGAAAACAATCGGGTGGATCGACGAACTCTAACTTTAAATAAGGTGTAGAAGAAACAAACGACGGCGTGATATTTGGACTGTTCAACTATTGGTATCTCTGGTGGACGTTTTCCACATAAAGAAAAGTCAAGGTAAAAATGAGAACGATATAGGCCTCCGGGGTTTTTTTTCTTTTCCTGAGCTAATTTTAGCAACTGATCTTATTATTATTATTTGAGAACGGTCTTGGTCATTTTACAAACGAATAATCATTTAACATGTTATTTTTCAAAGTTTCAGTCTGAATTATCGTCGTCCTTTTGAGTGTTTCGAGCAAGTTTCAGTGTTTATTGTGCTAATTGGCCCCAGTTCATTGTCATTGAGAACATATAACTAGGGGTGTGCGATATTGCCAAAAAATGATATCTCGAGAGTTTCTGGGATTTTATCGATAACGATAATTAGACGATATTTTGCTGAGTGTGTTATTGTGCTGGTACCTT